TATATATATATATATATATATATATATCAATTCCTCACAAATTTTTTGATCTCTGATATTGATCAACAAAAGAAGAAGCCTTTATTCCACTAAGTGGGGTCAGCTACCTGAATTCTTTTTCTCCATTGCTTCCTATTGAATATCAGATTTTCATTTAATTCTAATAAATTAAGAACATTTTTTATACAATATGTCCAAGTCTTTCTAGGTTTACCTATGGCTTTCTAAACATAAGTCGAGTTTAAAACATCTACTCTCCTAAACGGATCAGATGATAATGTGACCAAACCATCTAAGATTACTCTCTAAGTTTGTCCGCCGCAAGGGCTACAATAAACCTATCACGGATATATTCATTTCATATAAATGTCATATATTTTCTCACCCAATTCATTTTGATTGGATTTTTTAAAATAGATATTCAATATATTATCAGAAAAATCCATTTGATGAAGCCTAGACATTGATAAATATTTAACTAGAAAAGTTTCGGATTCAACTCAAACACAATCTAAAATTTATTTTGAGCAAGAAGTCAAAATTTGCAGCATGGAAGAGGAATAACAAATCGTTCAATTTTAATCTCGTTGGGACAATCAAGTATTTAGAAACTATCAAAAATATTAAGGGGATTAGTTTAAGATGCCAAGTTTAGTATTTGTTGAGAGTTGCTTCCTGAACACTAACATGAAACAATAGTCACTAATTTTTATACCTTCGTACCATTAAATCAATGTTTGTAGTCACTCGACATCAAATGTTAGTCTTCGTGGTCATTTATCTACTGTTTCTTGTCTTCAACTAATGTTAATGACTATTCTTTCTAGACTGTTTTCGTCGACTATCGATCAACATTTATTTCGATCAACTTTTACTAATATTTTCTCCATGTTGCCAAGACCAAGCTAACAATTCAGACTGTGTAATCACCTCTGGCTAGGAGGTTGGTGGACTTTAATAAACTTTATTTTATTGTATATTATTTTAGTTGGTTTAGGCCCTATGATTTTTTTCATCCTTTAACTTTCACATAAAAATGGTGATCTTTTATGATCGCAAATTATCTATATAGTGTGAAATTTATACAGTGTGAAGACTAATAATGAATATTGTAATGTTACAATTTTTGTAGCTTCTAATAGCATTATATCACTTGTGGGAAAAAAAATCCCAGCTTTGTAGATTCTATAAGTAAGTTTCTAGTGATCAAAATGAGCAATTTGCACAACCAAATAGTCATTCACTTCATTACACATCAGATTGGATAATACTATTTTAGTTAGAGATTTAAAAATCTATATTGATGAAAGCCCTTAAAAAATATTTTTTTGAGGATTGTGTTTAAAAGATGGCGTATCAGATCAAATCTTTCAACACTTACCTGATGCTTCTAACAAATGGTTCCATCAGAACAATTCATTTAAGCTAGTCAAGTTTAGGTCACCCATGCAAGGTTCCCTTATCATAATGTTGTGATACCACTACAAAAACATGATTATTACCTCTTCAACATTGCTAGCTCAATCCATTCTTCACATGCATATTGACTTGCTCGTAATATCCAAAAAAATATTATAGGTTTTATTAACTTGACTTTTCAGTCAACCTTTCCTTAGCTTATATATAATTTCATCAGGATATATGACTTCCCTTCTAATGTCACCAAATGACTGAATTGAACTCAGATAAGCTATGACTTGAATTCTACTTGAGTTGAAAGTTGAGTTAACCCTAATTTAACTCAAAATTAAAATTTAACTAAATAAAAAATAAAATCAGTCAAATCAAAATGGAATCAAATATAACCAACTTAAGTCAACCCCTAAATTGACCAAAAAATCAGCTTTAACTAACATGCACATAGAAATTAATTTTTTTCTCAATAGATCATCGTAGAGCTTGGAATTCAATCCGGAAGTTTCATGATATTTATTATTACATATAAATATAATGCAAACAAGTTTAATGATTATATAACACAATATTATGCAAAACAATTCAATTCAAGTTTTTTTGTATGAATAGTACACCAAGCACTATGAAATTTTCATTTTCTCTACGGACCAATCTGTGATCAAAATTTCAATATGTATGTTGTATAATGTTCATATTCACATATGAGAAGCATGCAAATTAATTTGATGATGATTGGACACACTTTCTTATGTAAAGCTTTTCGTTTTGATTTTTTAATCATAAAAAGATTCTATATTTAAAAAAATAAAAAAACATTATTTTTCAAAACAGATAGTGTGAGTGCATCCAAATCATCGAAACATTTCAAATAAGTCCATTTGTGCCCAAATCGACTTTGTTTGGGTGCCCACTTATTAAGCCTTTGATAATTTTGACATTAATTTTGACAATAAAAAAAATCCTAATAATTCTTTCAAAATAAACTAAAATCAATATCAAACTTCAACTAAAGTGAATGTGAGCTAAAAACATATAATTTAATTAAGTAATCCACTAAAAAACTTCGAGTCAAAATGCACCAAATTGTCTCTCTTATGGTGGAGCCTACACTTTGACTTGCAATATCTAGAGCTAAGGACCGCTTCATC